CAGGGGTTACCTGATGGCCACCTATAAGTTTATCAGGGGTGACCACCAGTTTTTGGGGAAACATCTGTTCACCAGAGTGCCCCAAGAGATGATGAGGTCGAACGGTTATAAACTCCTGCAAGACTGTTTCAGGCTGGACATAAGGAAGAATGTCTTTACTGTCTGAGCCCCCAAGGTCTGGAACAGCCTGCCATTGGAGGTGGTTCAAGCACCTACACTGAACGCCTTCAAGAGAAATTTGGATGCTTATCTTGCTGGGATCCTATGACCCCAGCTGACTTCCTGCCCTTTGGGCAGGGGGCTGGCCTCAATGATCTTCCAAGGTCCCTTCCAGCCCTAATGTCTATGAAATCTATGAAACAGGTTAGGGTTTACTTAGAGGACCTAGATGCTTTCAAGTCATCAGGGCCAAATGGGATGCACCCTAGGGTACAGTAGGAATTGGCTGAAGCAATTTTAGAGCCATTTGCCATCCTCTTTAAGAACTTTTGGAGGTCAAGTGAGGTCCCAGATAACTGGAGAAGAGCAAATACAGTTAGTGCCTGTCCTTAAGAAAAGGATGACAGAGAATCTGGGGACCTGCAAACCAGTCAGCCTGACCTCTGTGCCTGAAAAGATCATGGATAGTCCTAAAGGAATTCCTTGTGAAACACCTGAAGGAGAACAAGGGGAGCAGGAACAGCCAGCATGGATTCACCAGGAGTAAGTCATGCCTGACGAAACAGATTTCCTTCTATGAAAGTATAACAAGCATCTGTAGATGGGGGAGAACAGTGGATATGATAAGCCTCGACTTTAGCAAGGCTTTTGACATGGTTCCTCCTGACATTCCTTATTAACAAGCTTAGGAAATACAGACTAGATCAAGTATTAAACAGGTGGACATAACTGGTTGGATCACGGTGCAGGCATCAATGGTTCAATGTCTAGTTGGGCGGAGGTATCAAGTGGTGCTCCCCAGGGTGTTGTCCTAGGGTCAGGTATTATTAAATATCTTCATTAATGGTTTTGGATAAATGGATCAAGGGCACACTTAACAAAATTTGTGAACAACAGCAAGTTGGGTGGTGTTGTAGATACTCTGGAGAGTAGAGCTCAGATCCAGAATGACCTGAACAGGCTGGAGAAATGATTTGCAATTAGATGAGATTCAGCAAGGACAAGTGCAAAGTCCTGCACTTGGGACAGAATAACTGCATGCATAAATACAGACAGGAGAATGACTAGCTAAGCTGCAGTACTACAGAGAAGGATTTGGGGGTTATAGTGGACTGACCACAAGCTAAATTTGAGCCAACAGTGTGCTCTCATTGCAAAAAACCAACAGCAAACTATGTTGTATCAACAGGAGTGTCACTTGCAAATCAAGGGAAATGATTCTTCCACTCTGTTCAGCACTGATGATGAGGCCTCACCTGGAGTACTACGTCCAGTTTTAGGTCCCACACTTCAAGAAGAATGTGAACAGATTGGAAAGAGTCCACTGCAAAGCACTAAAAATTATTAGGGGTCTGGGAGGCAAGATCTATGAGGAAGTGCTGGAAGAACTAGGGTCATTTAGTCTGGAAAAGAGAAGACTGAAGGGGGATTTGATAACCCCGTGAAATATCTTCAAATACCTGAAAGGCAATTAGAGAAGATGGAGATGGGCTTTTCCCTGAGGCTGTAGGAACAGGAGAAGCAGCAACGGCCTTAAGCTGCAGCAGAAAAATTTAGGTTGGAGATTAGGAGGACCTTTCAGACTAGGAAGATGGGCAAGCAACTGGAACAGCATATGTAGATAAATTGTGGAATCTCCAACTTCGGAAGTTTTTAAGAGCAGGTTAGACAGATACTTGGCTGGGAAGGTTTAGTCAGGAATGCTCCTGCTTTGAGCAGGGGGTTGGACTAGACAACTCTACAAGGTCCCTTCTAGCCCTACTTTCCTATGATTATAATAATAGCTAATGTCTTATGGGCTTTGCTGACAAAGCAAATTCACAATAAGAAATGTGCAAGACAAAACTCGTCACATGCTCTGTGTTTCCTGATCTGGCTGTACAAGAAATGTTCTCTGTGTTTGAGAGCCAGAGGATAATCTTATTTTAATTTATGGAGCATTAAGTTAATGGAAAATTAGGGTACCCAGAACAAATAAAATCTAGACAATTTTGATGGATTAAAAGACAAACAAAAAAGAACCCCCTTCAGAATTATTTGTCTATGGTTATCAAAGGTTTTTGAGGTACCTGTGGTTCAGAGTGCAGGGATCTTATGACTAACATTACTTCCAATTTGTAAATTTGTTATCAGTAAACACTAAACAACTTCCTCATTCTTTACACCAATGTTCCTTAAAAAGATAGCTCACATATTATGTGCAATTAAAAATGTGTCCTTGTTATTCATAAAGTACCAAGACTCACGGTTGCAAAAGACCTGCATAAGAAGGTTAAGTTTACATCTCAAATAGTAAAGTCCCACTCCTGTAACAAGATACACGTATGGGTAAGAATCTATCCTCTGAATCGGGGCTTAAGTGGACAGCCTACAGCTAAACTGGAGTTGGGGCGGAGGTAGGTAGGATGGAGGATGGATGGGAATACCAATAGAACAAGGGATACAATGAAATTTTAAAACTGTTAAATTGTTTATGTTATTTTTTTTTTAAACCTTTGCTAACTTTGCTTAACACATTTACTAAATATGTACTAAAGGTAGAGTAGTGAAAGTTTAAACAGTTGTAAGACGCAGATGTTTTAAATCTTCTGCATTGTGGATTCTGTGCTTTAGGCCTGAATCTCTGATGTCCCATAGCAAAGACCTGTACAGACACCCAAAGCTAGTGCATTCAAAATTGTAAGGTTCAGACTTTGAGTCCAGTGATTCAAATACCTTTCTGCAACTCTGCTCTGGACAGACCTTTTGCCCATCTTCCCCTAAGAGAACACCTTTTGTTGCTTTTAAATGTCTAATATCAACGAATATTTTGATTTGAAATATCTAATATCAACTACATACCTAATAATTTTAAAATGCGGTCATAAATTCTGTCCAATATAATATCAGAAATACAGATTAGTCTGTAAACATGTTGGAACTTACTCATCAGGTAAATTCTCCAATTCAGTTAATGTACAAACATTGTCTTATCATTCTTCTGCTTCATTTGACCATTACACCCCAAGACCATACACCTGCTCAACAGACAAGCAAGAATGTAAAAAGATGAAGGGAACCTTGGACCGAGTTAAGGGATCTGAGGCCATATGCTGCAAATCAGAAGATCTGCAGTGTTGTGGAGCTGCTGGAAAGGGGTAGAATATAAAATCTGGTAAACCAAAAATAGCATACGAGTACTTCAGTGTCTCTATACTCAAACTGAAGTGTGTTATTGCTCCCTGGTACAGAAAGAGGAGAGGGGAAAGCAATCAAACCAACCTGTAGGAACTCACCTGTCTTCCTCTGCATAAAAGTCACCCTAAACTGCAGGCTTAACAGCTTCTTATCCACTGGTTTACAGTTAGAGATGTTTACCCAGAAATGATGGTACATGTCTAGAGGCTCAGGCAGTGGCTCATCTTCACGGCGCACAATTTCTTCAGCCCTTGATTTTTGCTCCTTTATGTTGACATAGGCACGCCCTGTCTCACAAGCAATACCCATTCGGTCCTTGGAGAATGCGAGGTGGGCAGCTTGCTTTCTGGGGACCGTAATATTCCAGGAGACAGTGACATGAGGAGGTAGACCATCATACCAGTTAGGGGTCTGTAGGTAAACTTTATCTTTTGGGTCTGGGGTCACAGTGAAAATGCATTCCTCTGTAGTAAAAGCAAAAGATAGAGAACATATAGTGTGACCAGTGCTCTCAGCTTTCTCTTTATGCACATTACATGACTTAGCCACTCTTTGCTAAAATGAAACATGTGTCACTGACAGCCAGCAACTTACAATGGGAATTGAGACTGCTTTTTATCAATAAATGCATATCAATTATTGTATCTGTATATTTCATTCATCACATCTTCCCAGGAGCTCCCTAACCACAACCCTGAGGCCAAAGTTTTCATTCAGACTTATAGAGGGAAAAGTTCCTCAGTGATTCAAAAGTTCTGCCCAAGTAATGATTATCAGGATCAGGGCCTGGGAATTTTAACTCATTACTACTTATTAAAGGATGTGGGAAATGAGGTGAGAGAATAGATTACTTCCTTACCTTTAATAAATGGCACAAAAGACATTTTCAGATCCTGATTAACAGACTCATTGAGGAATCTTTTGCCATATGTTCTGAGGGTGATGGTGATATTGTCTCTCATCTGAATCTTTTCAATCGCTCCCCCAGGACAGAATACCCCAAGGTTTAACTCCTTCCTCTGAGTTGTACTGACGATACCATAATTATAGCTTGCATTGCACTTCAGCTCTGAGACATGTTGCTGTAGCTTCAAGGATGGAGATACTATTTCCACATTGATCTCTTCTGGAGCCAACAGCTTCCAAACAAACTTATCAAGTCGGATTGGCAGCTGGGCAATGGATCTAGGAACAGTGAGGGTATACCATTTCTTATGGCAGAATCTGATATCCCAACAGGCTGTAGTCAAAGACACAAATTATAGATAAAATCTTTGCAGCGAATAACAACCTATGGAAACAAAGTTTCCCCATGTAGCACAGTAGTTAGTTTTGCATACACACACACATACACACACCCCTCCCTTGTTTTCAAGGCAATCTGCATTTAAAGCACAAATAAAAATAGGATTTAAAAGTGTGAGTCTTTAGTTGAACACTGGGGGAGATGAGATCACATAAAACTCTTCTTAAGGTATGCTAATCCTGTTCTCCAAGTAACAAGACAAGACAATTTTGTCATACCTATGGTTTTTTCAGCTGTGATCTTCAGACGCTCCAAGTCATTGCACAGGAATGAAATTCTGTGTACAGTGCCAGATGTTAAAGTCAGATTATGGTCACAGGTTCTAGGATCTTTACAAATCAAGCATACAGGCTCAAAAGCCAAACGGCCCTCACTGGGCATTACATTTGGAAGGATAGTCATAGTGAGATTCCTCTCTTTGCTTAAGTCAATGAAGTAGGTTACATCTGAAATGAAAAAATTATACAAATAAGTCAAACACAGCTATGACAGATGTGGCCATCTTAAAACTTCCTTTTGCTTATCTCCCCCCCCAGCAAAACAACTATTGGAATTACTTTTACATCAGCTAGGAAAAAAAACCTTTATTTATTTTACTCTGTTTTACAAAATGCAGATCTAGACATTATATACTAAATTGCTAAATCCACATACCACATTTCTGTTCCAGTCTATGGAGTAAACAAGCCTATCTGAACAGAGCTCAATTCTATTTACATCCTTTCAATCCCACAGGGCTAATATCACGTTAGCTCCTTCTGATCAGGTTAGATAGTAATATAAACAGCTCACTAACAATATACAGGGCCTAGTGAATTTAAATCTATCAAACTGGCCTAGTGAATTTTCCACAAAGTAGTGTGAATGTCATCATAAAGAACAGTGGACAGAATACCAGACTGAGGCAGGTAATCCTGGTTCTATGGCCAACCCTGCCAGATTTCTTGCATGATCCGTCTCTCTCTGCATTCTTTTTGTTAAAATGGGGATCCTGGTTCCTCACTTATATACAGAGGGCTGACATCCGTGGATGAAAGCTACTAACTACAGAGTACCGTTACTGTATAGCCGATTAGATAAATTGAGTTCTCTCTGTCACTCACATTAAATGATAATCCTACTGTTAGAGGCAAGGATTTCTTAGGGTGATATCTTTTACTGAATGAACGGTATGTTGGCATAGAGTTAAACAAGCTTTTGAAAGCAAGACAGACACATTATTCTGATTTTTACAAAGGACTGGAAGCTCTTTTCTGTGATTTTAACTGTTTGGGATGCATTTTTATTTTAACCTCTAAAAAAAGACAAGCACAAATCAAAAATAATAAGAACATGGGAGACAGCTGTAATATTTTATTACACTTATCAGACCCTCTGTTTAATCCATGGTTAGTGTGTTGTTTGCTAACTGATAACTAGGGTCAAACCAGTCTGGGGTGGTTTTGCACCTGGCTGGGAACCAGACAGAGTTAATGGCTTCAGATAAGCAGTTAACTTTAAAAAAGGAATAGAGACTTTTATTGTTTATCCCAGCTATTCGCTGATCACCAGACTGGTTGGTAAAAAGGTGGGTGGGGAGGAACCAAACAGGGAAAATGAAACAAAACTTAGAGGAGTTCAGAAGTCGAAGCCCTGAAATGGAGGGAAACTGGAGAAGCAGATCTGCAGAAAAAACAGACAGAACCTGAGCCCCAGAAGCAGCTGGAAGGGTTCACCTGGAATAAGTGAGTTCTACCTGAATAACAAGGAACTCAAGGAAATGCTAAATTTTAGGCAAGTGGGGTATCTAACCCTTCTATGACTTAGCCATTTTTATTTCCTGCTTTCTCTGTTCCTATAGATAACTGAATGAAGTTTTGTCTTGAAAAAGCTGTCCATTTGGTAATCACTGCATTTGCCTACTTGATCCCAGCTTCTGAGGGAAAGACTCTCAGGCAGATGTTACAATTAACCTGTTAACTGTGCCACAAATATTAACTCTGCCACATGTTCAAGGAACTAATGGTGCAACAAAACACGAACCCGGCCACAAAAATATTCTACAGAAGATACGTAACATTTTTGTGGCTGGTTTCCATTGGGTCATAAATTGAACATGTTGCAAGGTAACCAGAGCCAGCTCAGAACTTTGGTGTGGTCCTGGGGCTGTGAACAACAATCAAATAAATGACTATCAGTCCCGGCCCTGGGAGTCTGCTACCAGCTCCAGTGCAGTTCCAAGGCTGGGGTCTATAATGGCTGGTCCCAGCCCTAGGACCACATGGGAGTCTTGAATGGCCCAGGGGCCATGTCACCAAAACAACTTGTGCCTTTTCGAAAGCACGGTTAGTAAACAGATCACTGCAGCTTGGGAACCCAGTCTGAAAGTGTGACAACTCATAGGATGCCACTCGGAAGTGCAGTTGCCAAGTCTGACAAATAACAAGGACGCCCAAAGAGGATAAAAAAGTTGTTTAAAAGTACAGCTAATTTAGAATAGTCATGATAAATGGCCATCCATTAAAAATGGTAAGCTTTTCCTTCCCCAACAACACTCCTTAAAATATATATATATTTTTTTTAACTAGCTCTATCAGTCCCATATCAGCCATTTGATATGGTAAAAATCTGAGAATTAAAGACTTTACATAGCTGCCTTCACTTCAGCCTCGCAAGTAATTTGTAAGTTTGTTGAAAAATGAGCTGAAAAAAGTTGTCTGGTTTCCCAGAGTCCATCAAGCCCTGCTAAATAAATACTCAAGAAGGTCCCAAAGGGGGCAAAACTACCATATATGGTAAATTTGCAAGCCTATTTAAAGGTCATCACAATCATGTAGTTTAAAAAAGGGATTCTATTTTTCTAATCCACTTCTTTACATCTGACATGTAAAAAAAACACACAAGGCTGAGAGAGACTAGCCATAATTAGAGACTTACAATTATCACTCACTTCTATAAACCTTAGAGATCTGAAAGAACTGGAATTTCTACTCTGCAGAAACTTTTGCATTACTGAGTACTTTTGTTCCAAATTAAAACAAAAAAACTGGCAATTCAAAGTTTTGCCACAACGCAGAATTTTTAGAAGTGTTCTGTTTTGAAAGAACTGAAATGGCATTTTTTTGAGGAATTCCAGGCAGAGCAGATAGGAAGCCTGCCTGTCAACCTCCTGGGAGCCTGGGAACCAAGCAACAGGAAAGTGGCCCAGCCCAGCCTGCCTACTTGCTTTCCACAGATAGTTTTGAAGGAACCAACACATTCCTGTGAAACACTGCTATTGTGTAGATCAGCATTTTCAAGCTGAAAATTGTTCTATCAGAATGCTTTCAATAAATGGTAGTAAAACCCATTAGCTTCACCAGTCTTCAATCAATCAAAAAGTGTGCAAATGAAAAAAGTGCCTACAAAATAAATTTCTTTTTATCTCATCCAAATCATACCCAGAAATCCCCCCTTACCCCTTACCACTTCTTCCCCTAGAATCTCTGCTGCACGTGTACAGAAAGGCTGAATCTGCTGCCTATTTGGACAATTTTGGATCCAGGGTAGATAGCAGTCCTAGAATCTGTGGACCCTCTCCGAGAATGTCCTGCTTGCAATTTCTGTCTCAATGTAGTACCAAATCAGGGGATATTGCTTCAGTTGGAAATGGCTATTTTTCCCTGGGATGCAACAGTAAGCACAAAACATAACAGAAGAACTTATCTAAGGGCCTGGGGCCACTTCAGTGTGCAGATACCAATGTATTTTTAACTGCATTTAAAGTCTACAAATCAGTCCCATGCAAATAGAATTTTATGTTAACAAAGCAATTTCCATATGGCTTAAGTGGTAAGAAAAAGATGTAGTTGGAGCCTTTGAAGGAGGATTTATACATCTGTGATGGGGTCCATGGATCTCATTCAAGACCAGCAAGGAAAAGGGTAATTGGACAACTGGCCGCTACACAGTCAAAATATGGATTTAAAAATATATATCCAGGAGCACCCAGGGGTCATCTTGGCTAGCAGCTACTCTGGTGGAAGCTGGCCAGCTCAAGGTCCAGACAGACTAATGGCAGTGAAGGCCACATACCACAGGACTGCAGGAGAAACCTAATGAATTTACAGGACAGCCAAAGAGCTTAGTCCTAGAGAGACTGCTAAAAGATACTATATTTGGTAAGGCGTTTTTAAGCTAAATGCCAAGCAGGAGAGTCTCTGGCCTGAGAGGAAAGTGGGTGGGGAGAAAAGGGAGCAAATTCCTGACAAGACTACATGCATATAAAACTAAAGATCACTTGTGAAATCTATGAAGATCCACTAATCTTATTTAACTTGTATCTGAATTTAAATAAAGTAAATATAAACAGGTTTTCCAGGTTATCATCTTGTCTGCTGGACAATAAATATATTAAAATTCCACTTTGCAGTCCAGTAAAAGATGGAGAGAGACAAAGTTGATTAACTGAGTATAATGCTTTTACTCTGTCTGGATTCCAAGATGCATTGTACACTAAATGTAAGCAAATGTGATTTGTTAAATACAAATTTCCTCTGCAGTCTTAGTAGAATTCACCACTCGTAAATGGAGCCAAACCAGACAGTAAAACAACATCTACAAATAGACAAGACACTTTTGACCTGCTGCACTCTCTACCCTGATGCATCACTTCTAGGTACAGCTCCCTGCTGAGATGGCTCGCTGGGACTCTAATGAGCTCCAAAGTGACAATTTTTAAATCTGGACTCTTATTCACTAGGAATTGTTCTTAACTCACCGATTCACTTCAGACAGAAAAATGTCATGTTATTTTCCCAACCTCTGCCAACACAAAGTTGAAACCCTATCAAGGTTGCATAACTTTAAAGCCTCTAATCACCTAATTCTGAGTTGCTGTAGGTTATGAGTAAATTGTCAGCTCTTTACAAAAGAGACATTTTTATACCTTTCTGATGCACATCCTTTCCATGCACTCCCAGCTGCACACTGCAAGCCCAGTGAAAGCCAATGAGATGGCCTTGACAGCAGCTAAACAGAGATTCCCCATAAAAAAGTCCATGTCTAGCCCAGGGGTGGGCAAAATGCGGGCCACCAGGCCGTTCTATCCGGCCTGCAGAGCCCCTAAATATTAATTTTCTAAATTTTTTATCTGCCCCTGGCTGCCTGTCATGTGGCCCTCAATGGCTTGCCAAAACACAGTAAGCAGCCCTCCACCCGAAATAATTGCTCGCTCCTGGTCTAGCCCCTCAACGTTTTCTCCAAGCTATCTAATATCACTTCTGCCTTATCTAGATTGAGCTTCACTGCCAACTTTTTCTCAACCCTATTCCTACCTTGACAAACCATCATGTAAATCAGAAGCCCAGTGCAAACTGGATCAAGTAAAAAGCCAATGTATTAGTGGAGGAGAACCTACTGCTAAAACTACAGGTAATACTCTTCATTATCTCCAAAAGGGACTTTACATACACAATGAGCAACCTAG